TGAGTTATATGAAGTGTGTAATGTCGAGAAATGATTGGTCGGTTCGCTTTATTAATAAGTGAAATATCCGATTCGGGCACATCCCATTAAATCCTTTAACCCCCAAAGTAATTTTTGAAAAACTTACCCAACCCCACTCACGCATGTCTAACAGAAGACAGCAGACTGATGTCACTGACGAGATGGGTTTTAGTGGTTTAGGGTGAATGTAGATGTGGATGCCTCAGGGCTCTACTCTCTACATATCAAATTCATAAATAACCTACCGTCTTCTACACTCCAAAAACCAGCCGACTCTCTCTCTCTTCCAACCTCACGTTTCTCCCCCTTCCAGTATCTGCTACTTCTCCCAAAACCCTTTCTACCAATCCTTACTTAGCACTTGCAACAAGCAACGCAGTCCGTCCAAATTCATCAACAACATTCACATCTGCTCCATTCATCAATAGTTCATTTGCGATGTCAAGGTACTTTAGCCTCACAGCTAAAATGAGTGGTGTAATTGTCGGATTATTTGGGAAGACATTTGGATTGACCTAGAAGAATATCAATGTAGTTTGACTTACATTGTTTGCCAGTTGAATTCTCACAGAATCAATGTCATTTCAAGTGATAGCTAAATAAAGTGTTTGCTGAGACTCTGCAATGGTGTGAGAAGCAAAGAGAAAACTTGCTATCCAAATATGATCAAATTCATATCGATATTTTGAGAAAATACTTTAATCATTAATCAGTAGAGTGACATCAACGATTGGTCAAGTCAATTAATTTGATTATAAGTAACCAATAGATGTTTGAGTGCTTGATGTAATATTGGCCAATTCCTTGTCCTAATGAGGCGTGAAATCGAATGAATGAATGTCTGACAAGTGTGGATAATTTGACTGAATACATCTCGAGCAGAATTTAATAAAGCTTCTCAAATAGAGCTTGAATTGGAAAAATCGAATTTCATTTGACTATGGTGTGGTATTTGAACGAGTTCAGTGTTCAGGGAGTTGTGTACTGTTGTTGACAAACCTCCTATTAACCCTGAATTTAAAACGACAACTGTCAAAGCCGTCTCAATTCTTCTTCCATTGCAACCCTAATTCAGAATATGATATTCACAACGTATTATCAATACTTATTATCAATACGTCTTCCAACACCTCTCTCATATCTTTTTAGCATATAATTTCCTTATCTCTTATGAAATTCACAGGAGAAGAAGAAGGTTCCTATGGACTTCACATACTTGAAAGTGATTCTGTCGCTACTGCACCCAGGTTAGTTAGCACAGAGAGATCTCAAACGAATGTCTAATCGAGTTTTTGCCATATAAATGCATCGATCTGCATCTTATTTCGGCATTCTGCCTGAGTGGGAGGTGAATCGATCTGTTGATGTACTTTATTGAATTCTCCAACATTCTCAAGCATTCCCCTCACATCAGCAACCTCATCATCATCATCGTCATCATCAACTTCACCTACCCTTTCAACACAATATTTCTATGACTAACTAAGCAACGGGTGGTTGATTCACAAAGCACAGCTCACCACCACTCATCAGCTAATTGGGAAAGATGGGCGATCGTTGCTATTTCAATCAGTTCAGACCCACAGTTGGAACTTGCTTGAGGCTAGTATTAGGCCATCTAGTAGAAGTAGTTGTAGTTGCCAGTTAATGACGATGCCACTCGAGTGTCAACTCATGAAAAGAAGACAGAAGGTTGAAATAGTGAACTTTAAAGTAACACGTGAGTTTATTTGGATGAGCTACTTATGACTTGTGAAGGTACGAACTGGACTTCTTATTCATACCATCTTCTAAAACTAAAAAAATTATCATTGTCACAGATGCAATATAATGTGTGACTGTAAGTGACTTGCACAAATTTCCAGAGAGAAAAGGAGAGTTGGAATTAGATATTGCAATATTGCCGATGCTGATGAACAAGAGATCTATTTGCATATAGATGACATTGTGTTTGGAATCCAAAGCATGAAAAGTAAAACCAAAGTTGACGTTTTTTCTACGTTAAATTTTGACATCATTGACGCCTGCCTGCATGTTGGAACGCAGTCTGTTCGAATCCACTCTCCACATTAAAGTGGATGTCATGAAACTTTAATGTCACAGCTAAAATGTGAGGCGTTTATCCGGTGCTTTTGGAAAGACACTTGATCTTATTTGATGGTGGATTAGTAGTGGCAAATCCTCTTATTTTATGCCCAAAAATAAGCGTTTTGGAGTCATCAATTGATTCGGGCTCTATCCGAGTTTGTATTGAGATATCGGTTATCTATTGTTCGAGTAGTATACTAATATTTTTTGGCCGACATTGCTCAAATTGATTTGACCGTAACACAATAGCTGCACCAAGTTGTACCGACGGTAAATTAAAGCACGCACTCATGGTGTGTCTGGAACACGCTGACAATGTGCGCGAGAACAGTCCTTCTTCTTAATGTACCCTCTACCACTCACAAGTGAATTTGAGGATCAGGAATCCATGCGTGACGCCATTGCTACGAGAATGAACCACTACGACACGGCCCATTACCTTCCTTCCTTTCTTCCATTCCTGAAGGTTCAACTGCTCTCAATGTTTCTGCGGTTGACTCATCAGAAGAAGAGACGAAATCGCGTCATCAAACTCCAAGGTCACTTACGGTGGATGCTGTGATAGCTTTGGCGACATTTGAGGTGGGTGTTATTTAAAATAGATCGTTGAGAACTTCATGACCCTTCCACATTTTTAAGGAGTCATTGCACGAGATCACGATGACATTGTCTCTCTTTACTTCTATCTCCCCATGTGTGTATGTTACTGATGAAGGAGTCAATGTCTCTTCTCCACATGTGCGCGCTGTCAATCATAGCAATCCCCCCATGCAACGTCAATGCTACTTTGTTATGATAAAGCAAAAAGGTTAAGTGGTTAATTAGTTAAATTTTGCTTAGTGTCAATTTGTGATTTGCATATTTCTCTCATGCAATCAATATATTTCCCAATCAATTAAGATTCATACATATGCATTTTGAACTGTTTCCTTCTCCGGTGAAGAGTAATATTAATGCAAGACTACTTTGTTTGAACAAATCTCTTGTGTTTGAATGGGACGGACTCCATTTTTGCCAGCTAACACAAATAGATATTTATTTATTTATTTCGAATAGCAGCAATGTTGTTAGTTGGTATTAGACTTTTAGCTGACGTTGAGTTACACAGAGGGTAGGAGGTACATCAAAGAAACAGAAAGTTGAGGAGTTGGGATTAAAAGAGTGATTTAGAGAAGAAAAGAGACAGACAGACATAGAGGCAGAGAAAAGGTAAGATGACTTTTGTAGACGCTATCGAATATGACATGCAATGCGGTCATGATAGTTTGAAATCAGATGTCAATTGCCTCTTAATAGACATTGTTGCCGTATGAGTATACGTTGTCCAGTGTGCACCACGTGGAGGTAACTCTAACGCACAACCCACACGAATAAATGTAATGTTATTATTGAGCGCCTTCATGAAATGGAGCCGTTGCCAATGAAAATATACTGTGATTGGTAAATTGCTTCAGCTTGGTGAGAATTTGACCCTTAATGAACTCTTGCAAGACGCCGATGCAGGCGGAAGTGAACATAATTTAGAAACTACGGTTTCAATTAAAATTTCGGAGATCGCAAATGAATTATTTGCATTCAATGTGACTTTGCGTATCATTGGTGTCTTGAGATCACTTTGACCCAGGATATTGGGTTGTCAACGGAGAAATGCTATTGGTAAAAGTCTTACATATTTGCAGTAAGTTTTTTATTTCCAACTTATTTTTCCTATAACACGATATGGAGGAAATACTAACCACACTACAGTAAGCTATTGTTCGACGCGATTTGCCATCTCTGAGACGACTACTTTCCAGTGGAAAGGCAAATGAGCTTATTATGACTTGTGAAGGTACGAAGTGGACTGCTTGCAGTAGATGTGATATGCTAACTGGGTGAAAGTGTAAAAAGTAGAATGAGGAAAAGAGATAGAGAGGCGAATGGAGGGTGAGTGATTTGGTGGTCTTTCCTCTATTCGAAATGAAACATTGTCGTACTGAGCATCCAATTTAACCACGGTGAGATCAGAGTGACACTTAGCATGGAGGTACCGATGATAATCTTTCCCCGCCATACCCACAATGAGGAATATACAGTGCGGCTGTAGGTGACTTGGGATAATTCACGGAGAGAGAGTTGGAGGTAGATATTCCAATATTGCCGATACGGATGAGCAAGAGATTTATTTCAATCAGTATTTTGCTTGAGGCTTGTAATGGGCCATGATGAAGAGGTAGTTGTAGAGTTGGCAGTTAATGACGATGCCAATCGAGTGTCAACGCATGAAAAGAAGACAGAAGGTTGAGATAGTGAACTTTAAAGTAACACGAGAGTTTATTTGGATGAGCTACTTATGACTTGTGAAGGTACGATGAAGACAAAAAGTAGCAATTGTGAATAGCGGCGATCGCTTATCTTCCCAAAAGAACAAAAACAATTACATCTCATGTAGCGAGGGGAGTTTTAAGGCATCTACATATGCATTCACCTAAAACCACCTAAACCCATCTCGTCGGGGACATCTGTCTGCTGTCTACCGTGAGACATGTGTGAGTGGGGTTGGGTGAGTTTTTCAAAAATTACTTCGGGCGTTAAAGGATTTAATGATATGTGCTTGAATCGGATATTTTACTAATTAATTGAGTAAACTGACCAATCATTTTTTGACATTGCGGACTCCATATAACTCAGAAAATATGGCCACGTCCTGACATGTTGAATCAATTCAATAGATGTCTTCCAACAATAAAAGGAAAACATCAATACCCTCTTATTCACATCTTTGATTTTCCATTTGAACTTGAGTGGACTGTAGTGAGCTGAGACGATATAAATGCTCTGTGGTCAATGATATAAAGACCAGTCAATAGAACAGGAATATCTGGGAAATTAGATCATCCATGAATCCGGTTGTACAAATCAGGAAATGGGATATTGAGGCGTCATAACTTAAGCCAATCTCGTCTTGTGAATATCAATATTTCATTGACGACTATTGGCAAGGGAACATTGGCAATGTCTCACAACTTATAAGGTTCTTTTACCCATTCACTTATTTAGAAGTCGTCATCGTATTGAAACAACTTATTGGTATTAACTATAAAAAAACATTTTCTGTATAATTGCATTAGATATATGCAGAATAAAATTACAAAATGGCCCACAATAGCTTCCAGAATATATTATGTCACATAGGATTAGTTTAATATAGTTGTGTCTCCACGCTCATTACTGTATTTTGGCGAATTTCTTAAGAGATAGGGAAATTATATACTAAATAGATGTGAGAGAGGTGTTGGAAGACGTATTGACAATGCATCGTGAATATCATATTCTGAATTTGGGTTGCCAAAGTAGGAAGAATTGAGACGGCTTTGACAGTTGTCATTTTTAATTCAGGGTTGATAGGAGGTTTGTCAACAACAATACAAAATTCCCTGAACACTGAACTCGTTCAAGTACCACACCATAGTCAAATGAAATTCGATTTTTCTGATGCA